AAAATTATGAAAACTTCTGAGATAAACACCCTTGAGGGAATGAATTGCTGGGTCCAGAGGCTCAGGACTATGGTCTTAAAGGACACTATGGTCTATGGGCATAATATAGTCCATAGACAATGTTATACATCCTACTTTGGTGAGTAATGAGTAGGATCTTAAAAGCTCATGAGCAGCCATCTAACGTTCAACTGTTGGTCTCTCCCTGTGTGGAGGAAAGAAGAGTAATAAAAATTGAAGATGCTTGGAAGCAATTAGTCCAAAGGACTAATGGAACATGTGAACATCAGTCTCCACAAACCTGAGACCAAAAGAATTAGATGATGCCCAGCTACCACTATCAATTGCTCTGAAAGGGATCACATTAGAAGGTCCTGGATAGAGTGGGAGAAACTGTGAAGCAAAACTCATTATTACTTAAAAAAATAAAAATTAAAAAAGACCAGGCTTACTGGTCAGAAAGAGATTGGAAGAATCCTGAAACTATGGCCCTTGGTCACTCTCTTCAAGTTGGGAACTGGACTTATCCTTGTGGATCAATTTTCAGCGAAGCAATTTAGGGGCTACAATAATACTAATGAGGAATGCACACACCACAGAATGGTCAAGCATTTGACATCTAAAGGGCAGCATTCACCTCAGGAAAAAATTTAGAAGGAAGAGGGAAAGAAGAGGGCATAGGAAGTGAAATGAGTGATGCTGCCCTGAGGGAAATGCAATTGCTGAGATAAAACGAAATGTATGATTTATGGAATGACAAAAGAATGATCAGCTCTGTAAACTTTCACTCAATTCACAATAAAAAGTTACAAACAAAGCAAAACAGGAAGAAGCATTGTGAAAGTAAAATTATCATGCACATCAATTTGCTTCTTCTAAGAAATCTCTTCCTCTACAATAAATGCATTCCAATCCTATTCAGTCAACATTGTTACTGAAACAATCTTTTTCTTAGTCATAGTGGTGATTAATGTTAAGTCTGAAAGCCCCAAAGATGTACCGATTTCCCATGCTTTCTGTTACCTCTTTTGGAACTTCTGTAGGCTTATTTTTACTTACGAATCCCTTTGTTTTCTTTTCACAATGTTATTGAGTCCTCTAAATACAATAGTAATGCAACAACATAAGGAACAAAACAGAAACATTTTTTTTTTTCAAGGAAGTAAGATTACTTAACACTTTGGTATGTATTCTTCAAAACTTTTTATCATACAAATGGACATACACATGCCTGCTTGAGATTACTTTTGGTTCATTTTTACTTGAGTCAGCTTTTCCACTAAAGATATTATAGACACCTTCCCATGTTAATAAATACAGATCTTGTTAATAATGTGAATAACTGAATAGTATCCCACTTTATGGTGGTACACAATTTATTTTTCTATTGATAAGAGATTTAGATGAACACATTATTATATTATTTATAAAAATTATTTTATATTATTCATCACAATATTTTTCTTTGCCTAATCATCCCTTAAAATAAATTCCTAGAGATGCAATTCAAGAGTTAAAGTGTAGATTCTTCTCTATGGTTTCTGTTATAAATTGTCAATTGCCCTTGAGAAAAACTCTAGCAATTTACCTACCCAGCAGAGAAGCTCAGTGTTCTTCCTCCATATTCTTATATTTCATTATCTTCTAGTAGAGTTACATTTGGAAGACTAATTCATAAAGAGTTATCCTTGTATACAAGATTATGTACTAGTTATGTAGCTGTAACCATCTGTGAATTATGTGTGATTCACAGTCCATAGTGAGACCTATTGGCTTCTCCAGAGTCAACAGCTTGTGAGGTTGTCATCGAGCAGCTGGGGTGATTTTTATAGAAAGATTTCACAATAATAAAGCAAATTGGCCAAATCTGCTTCAAGCTTATTATTCCATTTCCATGTAAAAGTCACATTTATTATCCTAATAAATCTCAGATGTTGCTCTGCCATCTGGCCTTCCACCCTTAAGTCCCTCAACTAGTTCAGGCTGTCCTTGCTACTCTATCAGAACATGTATTTTCCTTTTTCTAAGTCACTAGCTCACTCCTGAATACCCCTGTTTTCCTTACCACTCTTCCTCTGCCATAAAATGTTGCAAATAAAATATAATGATGATGATGATGAAATTTGGAAGAAAAATGACATTTCACACTATTGTTGCAAATTCATGATTATGTGAAGTTGAAGTAAAAGAGGAAGTTATGCCATGGGACAACTCAGGAAGAGTTTGCCTCTTACTTCTCATCTTTGGTTTTTGCAGTACTTCTCCTTAAGTGTTGACTTCCTCTTCCTTGTTGTGTTTACATCCTCTCACCCCAGCTTTGAGGTTCTTATTTGCCTCCTAACTTACTCCCATCCTTGCTTCATCAATCCTGTTATCTTGCCAGAGAAGGACAAGGATTAGGAGCAGAGGATATGACAAAACACAAGTGAGGACAGTTTGAACTGTCAGTGTTGGTAGTTGTAAAATAAACTGAATTACATGGACCCTTTGTTATTGTTGTTAGGTGCTGTCGAGTCAGTTGTGACTCGGTGACCTTATGCACAACAGAACGAAACACTGCCCAGGCCTGTACCAACTTCACAATCATTGTTACACTTGAGTTTATTGCTGCTGACACGGTGCCAGTGCATCTCATAAGGCGTCTCCCTTTTTTTTTCACTGACCCTCCATTTTACCAAGCATGATGTCCTTCTCCAGGGACTGGCCCCTCCTGATAATATGTCCAAAGTATGAGAGACAAAGTCTGGTCATTTGGCTTCTAAGGAACATTCTGGTTGTACTTCTTGCAACACAGATTTGTCTGTTCTCCTGTCAGTCCATGACACTTTCAATATTCTCCTCCAACACCATACTTAAATGCTTCAATTCTTCTACAGTCTTCTTTATTCATTGTTCAATTTTCATATGCATATGAAGTGAGGTTGGCCCAGGATTGGGCAGTGTTTTGTTCTGCTGTGCATAAGGTCACTATGAGTCGGTACCAACTCAATGACACCTAACAACAACAACAACAACAACATGAAGCTATTGAAAATATTATGGCTTGATTTAAAAAAAAAAAAAAAAAAAAAGGAGCTAAAATAAATAGAAATACTGTTAACTGATGGTACATGGAGGGGATTATAATCATTGTAATGAAACAAGGTATATGATTTGTTGAATGTAAAACTGATGATCTGCCCTATAAACTCAATCCACAATAAAAACTTTAATAAATAAAGTAAATAGGAAAAAAAAAAAATACTATGGCTTGAGTCAGGCACACCTCAACCTCAAACTGACATCTTTGCTCTTGAATACTTTAAAGAGGTCTTGTGCAACAGATTTGATTAATGTAATACATTGTTGATCCAAACAAAATGACGCCTTTACAATTCCAATCTTCATTATGATGTGGCACTGCAGGATAATGCACTGGACCACAAGGTTGGTTTGAACTGCAAGGTCATAGTCCAAGCCACTCCTTGGAAACCTTTTACAGGGTCACTATGAGTCGGAACAAACTCAGCGGCACTTAACTACAACAACCACAATTTATTAGTTCAGTGGTAAGGATTTTTGTTTTCTTTGCATTGAGGCACAATCCATACTGAAGGCTGTGGTCTTTGATCTACATCAGTAAGTATTTTAAGGACCCTTAAGAAACATTAATAACATTAAGTTGGTTAGAAAGGCATTTGGCTTTTAAGAGTCTTCAGGGTCTTAGAAATGAATCTACTACTGGAACTTTTAGTATGCTATCATCTTTGCTCTGTTCTTTTACAGTGACAGTCCTAGCTGTCATTTTGCTCTGTGGAGTAATTTTTCTGGTATATTGCAAACGAACAAGGTGAGTACCTGGTTAATCACACAGAACAAGCTCTTTCCCTATGAAAAAAAGAATTATACTATGATGATTCCCTGAATGCCCTATCAAAGATACTAGCCTGATACTCACACTGTTCTGTATTGACCAAAAAGAGTGTCAGAGCCAAACTGTCACTGAGGCAACCCTATAGCCCTTCATTTCCCAAATCAGTTCTCAGCTCACCCATCAAAAAGGGGTACAACGAGAGCCAGACAGGTGGAAATAAATAAATAAATACACAATGCCCACTGCTGTCTGGTTGATTCTGACTCAGAGCAACCCTAGAGGACAGAGTAAAGCGTCTCCTTAGGTTTTCCAAGACTGTAAATCTTTACAAGAACAGAAAGCCTCATCTTTTTCCTGAGGGGCAGCTAGTGGGTTTGAACCGTAGATCTTTCAGTTAGCTGTCTGATGCTTAACCAAATGCACCATCAGGGACCCTAAAAACAACCTTAAATATGCTAAGATGTTAGCAAAACAGATGGCTTTTTAAAAAAAATTTCAAGGTATCATTCAAACTGAAAAATGTCCACATAAAATGCTGCATTTGTGTTTTTAAAGAGATTATAATGATGACATTGGAGTTCTGGTATGGTGCTGTGGGTTAATGCACTGGACTGGAAGGTCGGTATGAACTGCAAGGTTGGTGGTTCAAATTCACCAGTCGCTCCTCAGAAACCCTGTACAGGGTCTCTAAGAGTCAGAACTGACTCGATGGCACTTAACAACAACAACAATGATTACATATATTTTAAATTACATTTTTAAAAAAAGTAACTCTATTCACTGTTTATATTAAAAAGAATATACTATTTTACTATTATTTTAAAGACTAATGCACTTAAAATGTATTCTTAAAAGGAATATGTAAATGTTATATACATGGCTCATAAATGTACTCACAAAAGGAAAATGCCAATATTCCTTGACTTTATTAAAGAAATACTCATAAATAAATGTTTAATAAGAATTTGGAAATTTAGTAAATGTGATTAGTTGGTGTTTTGGTGCGTGGATCTTTCCATAAAGTTTTTTTTTTTTTGAAAATTGATTATTAGGTAGATTTGTCACTCAACAAATTGGCCCTTAGCAAATTGATTTTCGGTGAGTTGATCTAAAGAAACAAAATCAAACCCACTGCCATCAAGTTGGGGACCTGGTATGGCACTGTGGGATAAAGCACTGGACCACAAGATAGGTTTGAACTGCAAGGGTAGTGGCTCAAACTAAGCAGCTGCTACTTGGAAACACTATACAGGGTCACTACGAGTCAGGATCAACTCTATGGCACTTAACAACAACAATAACAAGCTTCTGAGTCAATTCCTACTCATAGTGGCCGTTTAGGACAGAGTGAAACTGTTCCATAGAGTTTCCAGGGCTGTAAATCTTCACAAGAACAGATTGCCTCATCTTTCTCCCTTGAAACAGCTGGTGGGCTCCAACCACAGACCTTTGGTTAGCAGCCCAGAACCTAACCCACTGTGCCACCAGAGTTCCTGGAGTTGACCTAGAGCCATGATTTATAGTTTAACTCTCACTCCAAGGAACTCAAGTTCCTCCCTTTAAACTGTCCTAACAAATTGTTTATCATTGGGAGGGAGCTTATGTAAGCCATGGGAGAGTTAACCCAGATACTCACTGCCACCTACTGCCATTTGGTGGATTCTAACTCATGGAGAACCTATAGGACAGAGTAGAACTGTTCCTTAGGGTTTCTGATACTGTAAATCTTTATGGGAACAGATTGTCTCATCTTTTTCCCTTGGAGTGACTGGTGTGTTTCAATCACCAATCCTGTGGTTAGCAGCCCAGTGCCTAAACCACTACGTCACCAAGCCTTCTTTGAACCAAATATCAGGGCCTAAAGAAATTGAGATAATCCAGTGATAGGTGAGCAACTTAAGAAACAAAAATATTCTTCCTCTTTGTTATCCAAGGACTGATTATTATATTTATTTGTCTGTTTTCCTAAGACATATTAAGTGCCTGGAACTGTTTTGTTGTTAAGTGCCATTGAAATGGTTCAACTCATAGTGACCCTGTATAGGGTTTCCAAGGAGCAGCTGGTGGGTTTGAACTGCCGACCTTGTGGTTCCAAGACCAGTACTGATCCTACAGCACCACACCAAGATTCCTGGAAGTGTTTAATAATGTCTAATTTATAGTCGGGCAGCTGACCTCAAGGTCGGCAGTTCGAAACTACCAGCCACTCTGCAGGAGAAAGATAACGCTTTCTGCTCCCATAAAGATGTATAGCCGTGCAAACCCTGTGCAGGGTCACTATGAGTCAGAACCGACTCCACAGTACTTAATAACAACAGCAATTTATAGTCACTTTATAAATGTTTTATAAATTTCTAAATGTTAAATCATTTTAATCAAGATTTTCTAATCTGACTTAGCCAGGCTCTAAGCCCTCTTTTTCTTTAATTGCTCCCTGCCTTTGGAATGACTACTTTTTAGCAGCATTCTGTCAAGGTGGGGGGGGGGAGGGGGAGGAGTTGCCCCAACAAGATTGTTCAATCTTTGGTAGATGGAGAAGTGGAAAATGCCAAAAGAGGAGTTAAATACTATCCATAAAATCAGGCAACTTAGGTTTTCTCTTTCTTTGAGTGGCACAGATAATTAAGACAAAGTATTTTTATGATTCTTGAGCAGCGGGTTTATATCTGCTAATGTAATCCATACTGTGCTAGAGCTACATGTCTATAATAATTATTGGTTTACTTAATTTGAGAGTGTCCCTCTCCTCTTTTCAAAACCTGTGCATTATCTGCTTTGTAGGCAACATCCCCCAACATCGAATGCTGAAATGGACAACATGGAACATATGCCAATGACTGAAGGAACTAGCAACAGAGAGAAAGATACAGAAGACTACCAACAGAACTTATGAAACACAAGGGGAAAAAACTAAATCCATAAAGTCTGAAGCATAGGAGCCAACTCTGCTTTAGCAAAAGAGAATGTAGAAAGGGCTCAGGGAGTTGGTGCCAGGAAAAAGCCCACCAGAATAATAAAATATTCTTGGCCAAGGCATGTTCTGAATGGGTAGGTTCTCCAACCACAGGCTTGATTCTGGCTGACTGTCATGCCATGCTGCAGGTAAACTCGTCAGGTCCCCAAATCCTCTGGAGTTGTTGAAACTTTCCAGGATGAGGTTGAAAAACTCTTTCTCAGAGTTTTTCTTCCTTCTAACATTGATTCCTGAAGTGGTGCTGTGGGTCAATATGCTGGACTGCAAGGTTGGTTTGAACTGCAAGGTCAGTAGTTCAAGCTCACCAGCCACTCCTCAGAAACCTTATACAGGGTTTCTGTGAATCGAAACTGACTCGATTATCTCCTTCATCCTGATTTCTAGTTTACAAATAAAAGAAGTATACCTGAGGCTCTAAGTTAATTACAAGGGCTTGGAGATGTCTAAAGGATGACAGCAGCATTTCAGCTCCTTAAAAAGTCTATCTCCAGTTAGGAGATCCACAATGCATAGAAAGGGAGCACTGACCTGGCAGAAGAACCATCATTCCCAAAGAACCCTCTTGATTTAAGGATTCAGAAAGAAGAAAACCGAACTCAGTGATGTTTTACATATATATGCATTTATATTTATACGTCTTTATAATTGTATTTACATATAATATATGATTTGTATTTTGAAATTGTACCTTGTATAAATAAAATGTCTATTTTTAAAGCAAAACAATATAGGTGCTAGAAGCAACATTGCGCAAGAAACATATCATGTAGAACAAAAGAGGAGGAAAGAGCAGGAATCCATAGTACATAATGATTGAGCTCAGCTTTTCTTTCCAAAAAGAGAAAAAAATCTTGCCCAAACAATTTTCTAATGGAATTTCCACATGTGAAATCACGTAAGAAGCGACAAGATCTTGTCTAGACAGTGGCACAGGGTACCTGAATTATTGGTGGGATTTTACTAGTACACAAATTGTCTCTTCTCTCCCATAGTTCTTTTCTCTTTCTTTGTTGCTTACGACATTTATTTATAAAATCATGGACCTAATCCCGACTTCTTATATTTTAAATGAGAAAATTTGGGCCTAGAGAAATTGATTTGTCCAAGATCACACAGCTAAATAATGCCAGAGTTAGAACAGAGGTAAGGGAGGAGAGGATGGGAGAAGGGCAGTCCTGACTATAAACCAGCTACTAAATGCACCCGCATATAGCCAGAAGCAGCGACAAGGCACTCAAGAGGTCGAGCATGGGCATAGCCAATTCATAGACCATCAGAAGAGCTCAACGTTCCATTTCTTTCTCTTTTTAAAAAACAAAAGAACAAAAAAACCTTTTATGTGAAAGCTTAAAGAACAAATTAGTTTTCCATTCAACAATTTATACACATTTTGCGTTGTGACTTTGGTTGTAATCTCTATGTAACAGCACTCTTCCCACATCCTCCCTGGTTTCCTGTTTCCATTTGTTCCTCATCATTGTCCCTTCCTGCCTCTGAACTTTGTTTTTGGAAAATGCTGCCCTTTTGGTTTCGTATGGTTGATTGCATTGAGGAATACATGACTTCCTGGTTTTATTGTTTATAGGCCTGTCTGTGGTATGGTTGAAAATTGATTCCCTGGGGGTGAGTTCAATTCCAGGTTTGAAAGGTGTATAAAGGCTGCAGTTTTGGGGTTCCATCAGTCTCTAATAGAGCAGTAAATCTGTTCCTATTATTCTGAATTTTGTTCTACTGTTTTCTCTTCCTGCTCCATCTCTGTTCAGGACTTTCTATTGTGATCCTGACCGGAGTGCTCAGTAGTGGTGGCTGGCTGCACAATAACTAGTTCTTCTGGTCTTAGGGTAAGGGAGGCTGTGATTCGTGAGATCCATTAGTCCTTTGGATTAATAGTTTCCTTGAGTCCTTGATTTTTTTTTTTTCCACTCTTGTTTGCCCCAGATGAGGAGAGACCAAAGGTTGCATCTTAGATGGCCACTCCTAGGCTTTTAAGACCCCAATCATTACTTTCCACAGTAAGATGTAGAATGGTGGCTTTGTGGACTATGTTATGCCAATTGACTTACCTGTTCACTAAGACTGTAGGACTAAGCCTCAAGTCCAGTGACTCATTCCCTCAAGGTATTTGGTTATGGCTAAGTTTTCAGAATTTTACCCTCTGTATGCTATACAATGGACTACTGATGTGGTGCTGTAGAATCAGCACTGGACTTCAAACCACAAAGTCGGCAATTCAAACCCACTACCTGCTCCTTGGAAACCCTATACAGGGTTGCTGTAAGTCATAACCAACTCATCGGCACTTAAAAACAACAACATACTATACAATAACCTTAGATATATTTGCAGCACGTACTAATACACATGTAAAATATCCTCTGCCAAACCTATATATACTCATGGATGTACTACTGTTTGCCTTCCCCATCTGTTCTGTTTGCATTTCTACCTATGCATCTACTTATAGATGTTATTTGTTGTTATTGCAGGATCCTGTATGCAACAGTACTTACCTTTTGTTGTCTTTTACACTCAACAACTCCCAGTGTCTTCCTGTGCCTTAGTCATTTTATGCTGGCCTTCTGCTTACATATATTGCTTTTCCCTTCATCCAAGTTCATACATGTCTACTCTCCAGTTAACTTAGAAGCAAGCATGGCGAGACTTTGTCTCTCATACTTTGGACATTTTTCAGAAGAGACCAGTCCCTGGAAAAGGGCATCATGCTTGGTAAAGTGGAGGGTTCCCCAAGGAGATGGACTGATGCAGTGGCAGCAGCAGTGGGTTCAAACATAACAACATTGTGAAGATGGCGCAGGCCAGGGCAGTGGCTATGAGTAGGAACTGACTTAATGGCATCTAACAGCAACATTCAATATTTGTCCTTTTGTGATTGACTTATTTCACTCAGCATAATGCCCTTCAAGTTCATCCATGTTATGAGGTGTTTTACAGAGTCTACTTTATTTAACTTTGTGTAGTATGTACCATATTTTATTTATCCATTCATGCAGTGATAGACAACAAAGTACCATTTCTTACTGGCTTCGGAATGCCATCAATTTATAATTAAAGGAAGGATAAATCTAAAAATGCTCATATTGAGAATTTTAGAGCCACACCATGTTCACTATCTGCAAATATCTTTTCAACAAAAAGAAACAGTGATTGGTAACACATGAACTCATCCCTTTTATTCAATATTGACTTTATTACTTGATTATCCAGAATCAAACTGGCTATTTATCTAAACCTTTTACTTGTCTCTTCAGCTACCTGCCCCTATATTTCTAGAAATTTATCATGAGTTGGATCCAGTTCTTTGTAGGAAGTTTTAAGGATCTGACACTTGTTATTTTTAAAAATTCTAATTTGACAGAAATGCAACTTACTTTTAAAACTGGCAGATTGATGTTTAGTGGAACCAGGAGTGCCGGGGTCTGGCCTCGGCAAGGGGGTGAGGACCCGAAGATGGGGTGTCCGGTGACAATGGCGAGAGAGAGAGAGAGAGAAAAAACAGACACAAAGAAGACAGAGAAAAGAGATACAAAGAAGACAGACATACAGGCTTGATGCAAGCTGCCAGACAGACTGCTCAGTGGCTGACATTTTCCCTTCTCAGACTAACTCTAGGTGGGATGTCTGGAGAGGCGAGAGAGAAAAGAAACACTCGGAGACCAGAGTAGATGCAAAACTGGCAGACAGCCTCTTCATACCCTGCAAGCAATAATGCCCCCCGCAGACTTAAGTCTGCGTTCCTCTTTTATTTCCTCTCTTTCAGGGAGGGATCTTTACAGAAGAATGGTATTATTCAGACAAGACAATCTTTAAAATAAGTTAAGCCAGTAAACCTTACTTAAACCAATATTCCTTTCTTCCTTACTGGGTTTAACCTTCACTTGGATCAATCTGATTGAATCCAGGGTGGTCCGAGGGAGTTGCCCCCATTGTCCTTAATCCTGTATTCCCAGAATTTACCACTCCACCCCAAGTGAATATACCCCGGGCAGTTCCTCTCCAGAGCCTCCCTGCTTAATCCCAGTAAACCTGTCCTTGTTCGTCCTCTGAGGAAGTTTTACTGCCTTGGTTCTAGGAGGAAAATCTTGACCTTAGAAACTTAGGGGGATATTGCATTTCTCTGTGGACATCTAGGGCTCATGTTTGGAATTAAATAAATATAACTGAACACTAAGATGAAAAACAATTTGCTATTAACTGCCAAGTGGCTAGATCTGTTACACTCGGCCCTATAGGGCCTCGAACCTCTGCACGGTCTGTAATACAGGAGATTTGGAAAGGCTTTTTACCAGGTATGAGAAGGCTGTCATAGGGTCAATTTGTAGATTTGTGGTTCTGATTCACACTGGGAAAGATGGTATTATGATGACTTTTGGGGGCCAATTTTGGAGCTGAACATTATGTTCAGATTCACCATTGAGAAGTCTGTGATTCATCAGGCATCAGCCAAATTCAAACTGCATAACAAAAAATTAGATCAATAATTGGAAGCAAACAGGAGTTGAATCTGAAAATATCAGGAGGAAAGAATACTGCTATTAGGTGTCATGGCGTATGTTCCAACTCATAACAACCCTGTATAAGATTTCCAAGAGTGGTTGATGGGTATGAACGCCAATCCAGGACTTATCCTGTAGTGCCACATCAGGGTCCATTTCATATATACACACATATAGATACATATTATACATACATAGGGGTTCAAAAACTTCATGAGAAACCTCAGTTAAAAGATTATGGGAGAGGAACAAACAAGATGGTGGATTAGGTGGAAGTGTAGTAAAGAGCTCTGCCAACGACACAGTATACCCAACCAAGGAGGCTTAGGGGATGGTCCCAGAACTCTGAAACACATATAAAGGAATATTTAGAAGGCTGGAAGGCTTTCAGCTGGAGGAATTTGT